ACACAACCACCTAGTTTCACATCCAATGGTCAAGATTAATTGCGACCTTCATGAACCAAATATAAATTATCTTATTGAATACTTTTCCATATATACATTTGAAGTTCTGAACTTAACGATCCAAGCACCGATAAATGTAGCATATTTAGAATCAAGGCTTGTATGACCATTAACGACAATTAGGGAGAATGACCTACTACCCCCTCTCTCATACTTACGGGCCTCGTAGACCCTTGAGTTTGTGTAAAACCCTTGGTCCCCCAAAGTTTATAAAAAAGGGACCAGCACCCCCTTTTCCATCATTTACCACACGTTATTCACCAAAAACAACCATTTCTCAAAAGAAATGACATAGTGATCCAAATTTCAAAACAAAATGAGAGAACCCCAAAATCATCCCTATCATGCGTCTCTTCCCGTCTCACCCCATGACTCTCTCACACCACCCTTCTCATAGCTCTCCTCTCCACCATTTTTAAGTTTTTCCTCTCTCTACGTTAGACCCAATAAAAATAATGATAAATAAATAAAATTGAAATCGATAAACAATTTATTCGGATTTGTCCTTAAATTACACGAGGGACCTAATGTTCCATACCAAATCTTATAGACCAAGTCATCCGATGATAGGCTATCTTGAGAGTCCTTTTGGTGAATCTTCTTCACCTCTTTTATATTTTTCTCTTTTCTAGAGGGGTTAACCTCATTTTATAGAGAACACATTTATTTAGTAACTTTCACATCTATGGTCTATAGGAGTTGAGATCCAAGTGTAACTCCTGCTTTAATTCCCTTAAGTGCAACTAATTAAGATTAACTAGTTGTCACCAAACTGTTAATCCTATGTAATGAGCTAAACCTATCATTAGTTCAATAATGGCTCATATAATAGGATGTCATCCAAACATTCCCACAATTTACAAGAAATCCAAACACACCACTGGGTTTTTACCTCCAGTGATATATCTTATTAAAACTAAAAAATGGATCAATGTATATGGCATTGCCTCATGTTAACCACATGGGATGTCACATATATTTTAATATGGCTTTTGTATCATTTTTGAAAAGATAAATTTTTGAGAGAAAAGTGCATGATGGGCTACATTTCCAACAACTCCCACTTGGCCTGAAGGCCCTTTAACATCTTGTACATGGCATTGCCTCATGCTTTCTACATGAGATTTCACATATACACTGCCATTGTGGTCAAACACCACACTTGAATTTCTTGGCCTCAATGATTTTATATATGGCATTGTCTCATGCTACCTGCATGGGATTTCTCACATACCTTACCATAAGGGTCTATACCAAGCTTGAATTTTTTAGTCTCGATGATCTTATATATGACATTGCCTCATGCTACTTGTATAGGATTTCATATATACCCTGCCAATATGGTCAAACACCACACTTGGATTTATTGGACTCAATGGTTCTGTATAAGGCATTGCCTCATGCTACCTACTTGATATTTTTCATATAGCTTACGAATGTGGTCATATACCACACTTAAATTTCCTGGCCTCAATAACCTTGTATTTGGTATTGCCTTATGCTACCTGCATGGGATTTTTCATATACCTTACCAGAGTAGTCATACACCACACTTAGATTTCATGGCTTCAATAACTTCATATATGGCATTGCCTCATGCTACTTGCATGGGATTTCACATATACCCACCCAATGTGGTCAAACACTACACTTGGATTTTTTGGCCTTAATAATTTTGTATATGACATTGCCTCATACTACTTGCATAGGAATTCTCATATACCTTATCAATTATTCATCAACAAGTTGAATTTTATTTACATCTATCTTTTAACCAAGAGAAAAAAAAAAGAAAAGGCTTATTGCTTTCGCTTGTTTCTTAAACATGTCGTCCACAACTAGTTTTTAAGTCCAACGCTTAGATTCAGATCATAGGTCAAAATAATAAAAGCAATAATAATTTGACAAAGTTATTGGTGTTATTATATACATAAAGAAATCTTTAAGTGGTCTCAACCTAAACAATAATAAAAGGAAGAAATTTAATATCACTTCTTTTTGACATGTTCAATAAGTTTCAAATCGATGATGTTATCAAACTATTCAATAATAGGTCCCACTATTCTCAATATGTGGTTGTCATCATAATAACAAAAAATAGTCCAATATAGTCTAGCATGCTACATCAGTAATTGCTCTTTCTTAACGTGCGTTTATAATTATAGAGCTAACAAATTTAATTCTAATTTGGTAAATGATGATTTACTCCCACTATCTAATGAAGAGTAACTTAATTTTTTTAAAAAAAAGGACTGGACATTGATTTGTATTCATTTCATGTTATTAAGATAAAATAGAATGTCAACAAATTTCTAATTTAAGGCAATAAAGAAGTTACTACAAAAGCGTTGTAATTGAAACCTATCAAATTCTAATTTAAGGCAATAAAAAACTTACTATAGATGCTTTATAATTGAAACTTGCAAAATTCTAATTTAAAGCAATAAAGAACTTACAACAAATGCTTTATAATTGAAACATATCAAATTTTAATTTGAGGCAATAAAACACCTTATCACAAATGCTTTATAATTGAAATCTGCCAAATTCTAATTTAAGGCAATAAAGAATTTACCACAGATGCTTTATAATTGGAACTTGTTAAATTCTAATTTAAGGCGATAAAGAATTCACCATAGATGCTTTATAATTGAAACCTGCCAAAAGATTCCCACAAAGCATATTTAAGAACTTACTACAAATGTTTTATAATTGAAACCTGCCATTTAAGCAAATATGAAGTTCCAGCCAGCTACAAAACACATCCAGGAATCGGACTTGGCTAACCAGCAAAGTAATATGCATCATAATTGGTTTTTGCTCCATTTTCTGATGACATAATGGATGGCAATTCTTGATTTTTGTAAACTGTTCAACCATGCAGCACTGAAAATACCATAAGCCAGAAACGAGCTCCCATCTGAGCCAAATTCACTAAGTAGATAGGAACTTAATGTCAATTCCTTACAAACTTCGATTGGCCATGATCTCAAATTGATAGGTGATTAGGACTAAAAGAAACCAATGATCTCTTAACAAGCTTAAGATCAAATTTCACCAATGCAAGGCGATAGAAGGCCACAAGCCGTGTTGGTTTCAAACTCTCTGCACTTTTCAGAAACTTCTTTAGAAGCACCAGCAATTGTTGTTGGGCAGACAAGGAAGAACCCCTACAAATATCATCCCCAGGTGAATACGTGGAGCCCATCATTCCAGTTGTTGTTGAGACTCCTTTATAAACTAAAAGGTCACAAACAACTACCATGGAGTATACAAGGCAGGGATCATCATGATTCTGCTGAGAAATCCATATTGCTTCAGTTAATGCGTCTATGGCTTGATTAGGATGCCCAAAATGACTATGCATGATGCCCAAGCACAAAAGGCTTGTCTCATATTGCAAATAGTATGCATGATGCAGTTCTTTAGGATAGCTTCAAAAGCATTCATTGGAAATCTGGGGCCAGCTTTTGAAGCTTCTTTACAATGGCTTCAAAAGCATTCATTGGAAACAAATTGGGATGCCTCTCTATGAGATCTACTTGGTCTCTCAATTAACTTTGCTATGATATTATTGTTAATGAAAATAATAATGAATAAATAAATTTGAAATCGATAAACAATTTACTTAGATCTATCCTTAAATCACACAAGGGACTTAAAGTTCCATACCAAATCCTATAGACCGAACCATCCGGTGACAGACTACATTGAGAGTCCTCTTGGTGAATCTTCTGGACCTCTTTTCTAGAGGGGTTAACCTCCTTTTATAGAGAACACATTTATTTAGTAACTCTTACATTCATGGTTTATAGGAGTTGAGATCCAAGTGTAGCTCCTGTCATAATTTCTTTGAGTGCAGCTAATTAGGATTAACAAGTTGCCATCAAACTGTTAATCCTATGTAATGAGCTAAACCTGTCATTAGTCCACTAATGACTCATATAATAGGATATCATCCAAGCATTCTCACAATTTACAAAGAATCCAAACACACCACTGGGTTTTTCCTCCAGTGATACTTGGTTTTTCTCTTCAATGATACATCCTATTAAAGCTCAAAAATAGATCAATGTATATGGTATTGCCTCATGTTAACCACATAAGATTTCACATATACTTCACTATGGCTTTTGTACCGTTATTGAAAAACTAAATTTTCCAGAGAAAATGGCATGATAGGTCACATTTCCAACACTCTACTCCCTCCCCAAGCTCTATACTCCCTCCACTCCTACTCTCTCTCATTGTTAACAAATGAATAATGGCTTTCTCTCTCTAAAGTATCCTAAAAAATTAGGGTTCTACATAAAACAAAATCATATCTCTCTCATCTCTCAAAGCTGTCCGTAAATTAGGTGTTTTAGAGGTGGATTCGAGATATGTTGATTACTAAAGTCAATTCTTATTAATGTGTTCTCCAACTAGTTTTTTCACCTTTATTTTGTATTCAAAATTTTCAGTTGTCTATCAAACACTTCTTATTAATTTGTTCTTACTCATTTATTTGAAGGACAACTGTAGTAGCCTTAGTTGTAACTTTCTTTTCATTTTTCACAATATCAGCAGAAGTTGTGTTTCATAGCATTCTACCTACAACTACATCCTTACCAATTGTGACTGATACTTGTTAATGAGGGAGATTTAACCAATTTTCCTTTGTAAAAAACAATTAGTAATAAAGATTGATAGTTTTTGTTATTCTCCTAATGGAATGTGTGATTTTTCCACTGAAACAAAACTCGTTCAAGAAGCATCAACGATTCGGGTTTAGGACTTTGGGAGTCAACGATTCGGAGTTTAGGATTTTAGGGTGTAGCATTGGATAGAAGAGAAATTAAAAGCCCAAAAATTCTAAAAATAGATAAATATCAATAAGTCCGTACCTGATTTAGAGAGAGAGAGGGAGGGGGGGGGAGGGAAGAGAAAGCTGACATGGCTCCTGCTGGAGCAAACTGTAGAATTACTTCCTCGAGCAAAAAACCCACGTCCCAGGATTTGTGAAGCGGTTTATAAAAGAAGCAACGGTAAACCAGAATTTTGGCGGGAGACGAAGCTCAATTAATTTGAGGCCTTTTTTTGTGCCCTAATTTGTTGAACAAATGAAGAAGACAGAGTGAGAATGTCCATTTTAATGGTGGGAGGTCACTTTGGTTTCAGTTTCTTCTTCATTTTTGCCCTGATTTTTCTTTCTTCTCTCTTTGACATCAGAGGTAGGTTAATCTTCTCTCTCATTTTTGCCCTGATTTTTTTGTTTTTCTCTTTGATTTTTTCTTCTTCTTCTCTCTCTATTCTCTCTCTCTCTCTCTCTCTCTGCACCATTTTTAATCAATGAATGTCTGTGGTTTGACATTTAAACGAGTTAACATGCCAGGACAAATGGTGTGAAATGAAGACTACTGTGTTGTTTTGGGTTTGAAGGTTTTTTATGGAATACAGAGTTGAAGTGTTTCTGGTTTGTCTTCTGCTATGTTAGGAAGATATCCTGCGAGTAAAATGAGGGATTCAACTGTTTTATTTGCTTTTCAAATATGAGATTTTATTTGCTATGATTGAGTGATCGTTGTTCCTTAACTGGTTCAAATTTTGAAATTTAAAATTCTTGAATTAATTTGCATAAACAAAATTCTTCTTTAAGAATAATTGTGAGGTTCATGTAATTTTCAAGGGAAAATAATTGTGGACTAAAACAGTTTTTATGAATTTAATTATGGATAAAATAAGAAAAATTACACAGTAGATGATATAATCCACTGGTTTGTTATCTAAAGTATGAATAGACGTTTCATTTGTAAACAAAATGTTTTTCTCCTTTTTCTTCTTTTTTTTTTTTCTTTTTTAATTTCTTAATTTCCATCCTTTTATATATATAAAAAGATTAACCTGTTGTTTTAAATTTGCACTATGGGTGTCTTATTTGAAGTTTTGAGCTCATTCAATGAGAATTACCAGGTTTTTTTATTTATTGATGTTTTTCCTTTTAGCTCAAGGGCCTTCAGTTAATACTATAAAGAAGCTTTCCAACCCTCTTGTTGGTGATGATGGAAGAGTTTACACATGTATGGAAAATAACTTTATTGCATTCGAAAGCAATGGTTCCGTTGCATGGACAACTCGGCTTAATCATACTTGCCATGAGGATTTATCTCCGGTTCGTGATGCTACAGGAAAGGTAATAAGTTGGAACTTTTCCTTCTCAGTTAATTGAGAATTATTAGTATTTTCAATAGATATTTTATCTATTAAGAGTTAAGACGAATTATAAATTCACAACAAATAGGATTCTTAATCGATCCAATATGGTTTAAGGGCTGAATCTAACCAAGCTAGAGGAAAGCGAATATGGGTCGGTTTTCCTTGCCTTATCATATTTTCTAGTTTCATGTTTCATTTAACATTTTCTTTGATATGAGGGTCTTTTAATTAATTTCTTGATTTCTTCCATCCTCTGCCTAAACATGTCTTCTGTAAAGAATATGAATGCATTTTGTATTTGAATTTTGCTTTTATTGATTTTTATTCACATTATTACTTGAAATTTTAGAGCTCTATCCAATTTGAAAAATTGATCTCCTAGCCACATTGATAGCTTTTCATAAACTCAACAGCAGGGGTAGAAGGTGGAATTTATTCAATTTGGCTTTTAAAACAAAGGCAGTTGTGCTTCAGGCCTATGCCTGTTTGCTTTGTGCCATTGCATAGTGAATTAAAGCAAATTTGTTTGACGTGAACTGGGCTGGTTATTTCACTATTCCTAAGAGACGAGCTGGATTCATGAAGATAATTTTTGGTGTCCTTCAGTTATTAGTTTTATTATCTTATTTTTAATTTCAGTGTCTCAATGGTTTTGGTGTTTGGAGCTCTTAATTATCACAAGGAATTGATATTGAGAATATCTACTTTCATTCTGAAAGGAGGCGTTTATGCTTTTGTCATTGAGTTTATGTATTTTGGGGTACAGAAATTTTTTGTAAGTTAGTCAATTAGGTAAATTAACTTGAGATGATCTGAATATCTGCATACAATTGTTGTATCTTGTGGTTTGCAAAGCTGTTCATTAGACCTGGCAATTTCATGAGTGACATGTTTCAGTGGTTTTTTTATTATGTTCACTGAAACGTGATCTTTCTATTTAATAGAATAAAGAACCAAGTGTAGATTCTATGTCAATTAACATCATTTTTGGCAGATATATGTGGTTGCCGAAAATCAGGTTGTGGTAATTAGCCCCCCAAGCAATAGGACCTCCCAAACCTTTGCAGAAGATTTTTTTAATGATGAGCAGTCGTCAAATGAGATAATTGGGCTTGCAATAAGTTTTTGGGGTTCATCTTTATTTATTAATATAAAAATGCTTGGTCTTTTTGCATTCATGATTGATGGCACCTCTCTGTGGAGTGTTGGACCTGTGTTGCATCAATCAGGTTATCCTCAAGGCTGCAAAAGCAATGAGACATCTTGCTATTTTGCCTCAACCCCTGTTGTTGATCAATGTGAAGGAAGTGTTTATGTAAGTTCTACTTCTTATATATTTCCTTTTGTGAGTCCCATTGTATCATGAATGTAGCCAAAAACAACAAAAAACAAAAGGAATTTGATGATGCTGCTCTAGAATCAATAGTCAGAAACTTGAACTCAGTTGATGTGATTCAATTTAACAAAAGTCAAAACCTTGTCAAAAATTAAACTTTCAAAAACTAGATAACAAATGAAAGATTAACTTTGCTTATTTAGTGAGACTGATTCCAAAAAACTTGATAAAACCGATGTTAGTTTAACTTGACCAATTGGTGAGCTAATTAAAGTTAGGCTCCTGATGAGTTTTTAGATAATGTTGGCGATGATGTTCCATTGCTTCGTCTTTATTTTGTTTGTTGATATGTCATTATCTTTTTTCTTTTTTGGTAGAGTCATGGCTATGGTTCAAACCCATATTACAAACCAAAAAACGTTCATGTCACAAATGCATCTTGAATGTGCATGTATCTTCTATGGCATGAAAATTCTCCAAATGGTGCTTGTAGATTCATGGATGTCATTTATCTAGATATGGTCAATATTGATCATGATTGTGAACAACAAGCCTCTCGTTTGTCTAATGTTGTCTTTGTCAATTACTAATTCTGGATCAGTCATCTTAAGCAAAGATAGCAAAACACAGACACGGAAAAGCCCATGAACATATGATTATTTTTTTAGCCTTAACAATGAGTTTTCAATTCCTTGCTAGGGAAATAGATATGGGGGGACTGGATTCTTAATGTGTGTGTTTGGCAGTCCTCATCTTTTGCTAATGTATCAGCAGATCACAAATTCAGAAGGACAAGTGTATTCCTTTTCTGCTTTGAAGCCATACATCAATTGGATCCAAGATTTTAGCACTATAGACAAACTTATCACTGTAACATCTGGAAACAATGGTCGTGTATATCTTGCATTCCCAAGAAGGGCAATTTTGATGGCATTGGATGCTACTAATGGATACATTTTATGGGAAGAAACAATTGGTCCATTAAGAACCCAGGATTGCTCTCCTGTTGTCGATTCTTCAGGTAAATCCATAACCATCATGATATTATTTGATTGTGGTTATGACTCATAAGTGAACCAATGTTATCTTACGTTCATATGGGTCTATATGGCTATTCTTACTCTTCTAGTTATTGTTTACAAATAGGGTGGGTGTCTATTGGCTCACTGGATGGATTTGTGTACGTTGTATCACCAACTGGTGTTATCAAGAAGCATCTAGAAGAAACTGCCCCTAATGCAGTGGTTCAAGTGAATCCTATCCTTGATTGCTCTGGACGTGCAGTTTATGTTGCACAATTAAGAACTAAGTCAAAGAAAGAACACAACATTGGTGGATCTACTTATACATCGGCTTTGCAGCCTGTAAAGCTGGTGTTTAGTAAACTTCTTCCAGCTACTGGAAAGGTTTATTTCACAGCAGAGTATCCTGGTCAGTAAAACTTCTATATTGAGTTTAATGCATAAATGCGTGAATAGTTTTAAAATTTTATCCCTGAGAGATCAAGTTTTTCAAAGTACAGTAAACATATTCTAACGTATTTTAATTTTTTTACCTCACTAAATTTGCACCTAGGTGATTGAATCAGGTCATATATCATCGTTATGGTCTGATAGCTACTTAAGGCACTTTTTGCTGGATGCAAGGGTTCTTCTTGCTTTTGTATCTTCGGCCAGTGAGTAATTCATGGCTCTGCATTCAGATATTCTTTTATTTATGGTGGGCATAATTTTTACTAGTTAAATGCTTAATGCATATCATTCTGTTTCCTTTCCCCATGGTCATGGAATTAATACGAATGCATTTGTATTACATTACATATACATGCATGCATCACCAATAAAAAATAATATTTGCAGACTTGCACATGTAGAGATTCATATGGATGTGTACCCAGAGTGTTTGTGAAATTTGTATTTTTCTGTACAATATAGTTTTCTGCTCCAGAGTGTCAAGCTTATATAGAAAATGATGTGATGAGAAAAGATGAAGTTGGTGTTGTAGAAACCATGACTGAAGTTCATAATATAGCTGAGAGTTCCTTCTGGATGAGATCTTCTGTTGATTGATCAAGTTTTTACAACCCTTGCATCATTTACTTCTCGGACTAATTAGGAGGCATCAAAATGCAGATATCGGCAACCCATTTCCATGCAAGTCTTCATGTAAGATCTTACTGTTCAAATAACATTAAATCTGGAATTTTATCTATGTTGTCTTTTCATCTTACATTGGTATTTCTGCTCTGGCCTTTATTACCAGATGAAAAGCTTATGTGGGGATGTTCTCATGCTAAACCAAACACACTGAAGATTGCTTTCCTAGGTGACTAAGCTTTTGATAAGAGATATAGACCTATTCCTTTCATCACCTCTTTTGGTTTTGAAGTTAGTGTTGTCATGTGCTCTACAGGCAATGAGAAGAAGACACTTATCTTTCTAGGCTTTCAGTTTTGTGTCGTTATAGTACTTGCTGGGTGTGTCTGGTTCTGTTGCACATTTTGGAACAAACAAAAATTGAAGAAGCAGGGCCTAGGAGGTTTCCTTGAAAAGAGAGTAAGTAATCACACTCTTATCTCATTCCTTAAGAAAGCCGGAATGTTCAGTAGGTTCTTTCCTAATATGAGAACTCTAGACTATTGTCACTTGATTTTCTCATACAATACGAAAAGAAAAAGAAGTAATAGTTTTTTTTTTGTTCTTTTGATAACTTTTCTCTTTTTTTTGGAAACTATGGACTTTGTATTAAGAGTAAGAGTCTGTACATGTATATTTTGTTTGAGTTATGCCATCCCAATCTCTGATTTTCTCTGCCTTTTTTTGGAGCTTTTTTTTTTCTCTTATCTGAGTTTTTCGTTTGATCTTTAGAAAATGCCCCAAAGGTTCCAAATGTTCTCCAGTTTTTTACTTGAGAAGTAGTTACCAAATGAAAAAAAGATGTTAGGATGTTACGGTCTCATAAATGTTAGAATTGCAGCGCTCTCTCCACTTGAGAAAGAAGATGTGTGATAGGATGATATCAGACTTGGAGAAGAAGATGGATGAGGAAGGTGTGGAGGAAGAACAAGTGATGGACAAGTTAGGAGAAACCATTGCTGAAAGGGAGACAATAGAAGAGAAGTTATCAACAACATATAGCTTGGGAAGAGACACAAGTGGGCGTAGTAATAAGGTTGTTGACAAAGATGAGAAGGGCTACACTTGGTCTCAAAGAAGGGACCAGTCCATGTCCATGTTTCATACAGTGAGTGCGACTTCTTCTTCATCAGAGAAGAATGAACCATTGGTTGAAGAAGAAGAAAGCCAAGATGAATGGAGATCCTTTCCTCTTTGGTATGATGTTGGTGACAAGGGATCAGCGGTGAAAGGCAAGGCACCTGTAAAGTAAGTGTTAAGAGATTAGTTGTGATTTTCATTGCTGTATAGCCAGCCATATTCTTATGTCCCTTAGCATGAGACTTCTTAAATCTTCATTTTCCATTCATAGGCATTGTTAGCTTTCTACTATGCTCTCTCTCTCTCTCTC